TTTTGTTTTTTTAAGGGGGAAACGGTGCCTTTTGTTCCGGTTTAAAACTATGATTCAGCTAACAAAAACCCTAATTTCAAGGGGGGACCATTGCTGTGTTTTTTTTTTCAAAAAACGAAGGGGGGATCAGGCCCCCCCTGCCCCCCCCCCCCCCCAAATCCGCCACTACAACCTCCTCCCCTACCAAACCCAACCAAAGTATAAAAAATGCTGTAGAAAATGCAATTGAGAGGTGTGAAATTACCACTTTTATTTAACCCAAATCACCAATAACGCCGGCGAATTTTGAGTGACGCTAGATGTTGAGCTTTCTATTAAAATAAGCATTTTTCATCTTACACGCATGTGGCCTGCGCTATGCGCTTAGCTATTCTTTTCATGAAGTAACAGGCTATACTATAGCCTAACAATTGATCTAAACTCTTAACCTGCATCACATGATTGCAATTGAAATGATCTCTTTGAGAAAAAGTACGTATCAACTTGATTGAGAGGGCAGACGGGCCAGGACTAAGTTCACCCTTCGCCTTGAGTGATTTTTGGAAGTTAAAAGTAACCATTTTTTTTTTTAATTTTTGACGATTTTTGGTTACTGAAGTGGATCTGAAAACCTGTGCCTTAATTTGGCGATACTATTGCAAACATTGTAGTCAAGATAGGCAGTATTTGTACACAGATGCAGGTACGCTGCTGTATTCCCACCACGCTTAAAAATACTGCGCAACTACACGTTTCTTTATATTGAAGGGGAGACCAGAACTACAATGTGGCTTGCCCAGTTAGAAACAAACGAAAGCTCAAGTAAAACTTAACGAGCGTTGTTTTCTTAACATTATTTTTGTGGAATCTGGTCACTTAAAAATTTTGAATAGTTCGCACACTTTTTATATTATTCTTTTCCTCTTAGGTTCTCTTTCATAAACTGACGAGGGACCAACTTACCCCGGGGTCCAGCTAGCCCCGGTCTCCCCTAAATAATATACAATATCACAGAAATTGCTCTTATGCCAGACAGATAAATTGCTTCTGTTGTGTTTTATTTAATTGATTGTTATGTCATTGACGTCAGTTTTTTCGGTAAACCAAAGGAATTACATGAAGTAACTGTTGTTTTTGGTAGTAGGGTGATAGGCCTATGCCGCAACCACCCAGAGCATGTTTATGTATATTTCAACTAGTTCATTACCGTAGAAAGATTTTAAGTTAAAAAGAATGAAAACGAGAAGAATACTAATCAAAATATCTTGTAAGACTTGGTGAGGGGGAAAAAGTGTTCCATTGTATCGCTACGGAGTCTTGATTTTATATTTTGCTTGAAAGGCTTTTAACATCAAGCGGTAAACTGCACTGGACCGGTCCACTTTGAGAGATTGACAGCTTAATTCAATTCCTTGACTATCACGTAAAACAGTCATCTTTACAGTGCCGACTTTTAGGGAGCATTCCCAGACCCTATCGTACTAACTGTGGATCCAACTATCTCCAAGGGGATTCTCGCTAAATTGCAATCAACTTAAGGGGCTACGATGTCTGCCACGCCTACTGAAGCTGCTAGGGGGTAATTAATTATCGTTTAGCAGCTTCAGTAGGCGTGCCCGACATCTAAGCCGCTTAAGCTGAAAGCCATTTAGCGAGAAACCCCTCGGAGATGGATCGATCCTTTTAGGTCGATCTAGGTATGGGAACCAGGTCTTATTGATACCCTCTACCAGGTCCACAGATTGATATTTTACTAGATTTTCACCGACATGCCTCTGGCTAATTCGTGGCAAGAAAAATTCCAAATCATTTATCTGCGGCCCTGGTAGAGGATAGCTAATTGATTGAATTAAGTAGAAAATACAACAGAAAAACTTCTGTAGAAC